ACAGTGGAATATTGTACTATGCCACTTTAAGTGTGATCTACTTAACCTCTCTGGACCTCAAGATGACCTCAGAGGTCTCTTCAGCTTTAAATGTATGATTTAAAAAAAAACAATAACTAAGTAGATTTTCATTTTTATGTGATATTTAATTTTTGTCCCCAGTTAGTCAGTGTTCCTCAGTAGAAAACAGCTTCCTAATTTAGGGGTTTGTAGGAGCTTTTACAAAGCAGGATGTTGTATTAAAGGGCAGAGTAAGTGCTGACCTGTACTCATGAAGGGAGTTTCCTCATTTAGAAGTCCCATATACCAATGAAATCACAGACCAATTCCTGTATATGATAGGATCCCTGAAAATAGCCATAAGCAATTGGTTACAATGATGATGGTTCTGGCTGTGGCTTATGTGTATAATATTGTTATGATGCCATTTAATTATGCAGAATAACATTCTGCATAACACCTTTTATAAACACACATAAAGTAGAAATTACACATAATTTCTCTGCTTTTATAAAGCAAAGGATGACAGTATTTTAAATTGTTATGTGAAACCAGAGTTTTTGGAGACAAGGGAAATGCTCAACTCTGTTTTTACAAAATAGAAATTAATATCATTATTCTATATATAATCTCTTCACCCAAATACTGACGCCTGCTTCTGTCAACAAGCGTCTTTGTTTTGATAGCCAAGAAAAATTTTAGCTCAGTGTAGACAACAGAATACACTTTGTAAATTACAAAATCCAATTTCTGGAATACCTTCTTTTGGAATGTGTCTTGGAAATGTTATTTACTTCATATTTTTCAAAAGCTTTTCATCTCTAAATCAGATTATACTTTGAAATGTTTTATGATCTCAGTAAAGCTTTTTGGGACCCCCAAAACAAAAAAATGGCAGCTCTTTCCTTTTATGATAACTGGATAGACTAAGAATGTAAAGTGGAAGGTAGCAACTCTAATACCCCAGTCTTCATTGAGCCTGTTTTTCATGGTCCTTTTGCAAACTTCATAGAATTATACTACGTTAGAGGTAAAAGGGACTTTAGAGATCATATGTTCCACTATTCACATCTATTTCCTTTTTACAGATAAGGAAACAACCTTAAAGACTAGTCTGGATCTTGGAATTTATATATATGAGGGAAAGGGATGGGGAGGATAAAGTGAGGGGATAATGTTGTGTTTCTAAACTGTTGAAACCATGAAGTTTCTATACTGTTGAACCATTGCTGAGCACGTTTGGGGCTGAAGGTGCAGAGGGGCAATGTGGGAGGACATAAGCTCTTGGATATTTCAAAGTTTCTCTGCAATTAGAAAACTAGCAATTGCTGAGGAAGTTGCCAGGGAGTTGGCTCTGGGGGGAAGAAACATGAACTTAGACAAGGCCAACATAGCTAAAGGTGGGGCCAGGCACGGAAGGGCCTACCAGGAGGAGTAAAATGTCCTCACAAGATTTATAAGGGCTTAACTTGATTAATATTTGCTCTATAAGCCACAAATACTGTGTTTATCATTTTTCCATTTTTGCTTCCTAATTCTCCTCTTTAACTTTTCTCATGCCTGGAGTATTGCAATAGTCTGCTGATTGATTGGTCTTTTTGCCTCATGTCGTTTCCCACTCCAATCCATCCTCCACTCAACTGCCAAAGTGATTTTCCTAAAATTCAAGTCTGCCCATATCACCACCCCCCTGCTCGATAAATTTCAGTTATTCCCTATTTTTCCTTCTGTCATTATGAGTTCCACTGCATTTTTCTGTTTAGAGCCCATGAATGGAAAAATATGATTTAGAATAGCTTACATCAGTATAGAAACTAAGAGGAGGACAAAGTAAATAAATCTCGGGACAGGTCACTGCAAAAGAATGCTACTTGTTAAGAGGTTGGAGGAGAAAAGAAGAATTGAACTATATTCTTACCTGGATGGGGAGACATAAGAATTTTAAAAAAAAAGGTGTGTGTGGGAAGAGGTAGGAGGAAACTTGTGAAGAAAAATGACTTCATGGTTTTACTGGACTGCATACTTATATATGAGTCAACAATGTGAGACATCAGGCAAAAAATTGCCATTTCAGGTTGCTTTAAGAGAAGTATTGTGTTTAGAGTGAGGTGAATTATAGAAGTGGTGCCCTTGACAGAGACAGGGAAATATGGAAGAAGAGTGGGTTTGTATAGAGAGAGATAATAATTCTATTTTAGACACTTTCGGTTTGAGATGCATAGGAAAGGGACGTGTAGTTAGATATGTCCAATAGTGGCAGTTGGTAAAGTAGGATTAGAGCTCTGGAGAGAGACAAGGTTGTTAGATATATACATCTAGGAGTCATCTGCATAGAAATTATCATTGAACTTACAGTAGCCAGTGAGATCACAAAGTAGGAGAATAGAGAGAGAAAAGATAAGGGGACCTAGGACAGAGTTTTGGGGGGTATACCCACAGTTAGTATGGGAGTGACATGGATGAAGATCTAGCAAAGCACCTTGAGAAGAAATAATCAGATAGATGGGATGAGAACCAAGATAAGACAAGTTTATGAAAACATAGAAAGGAAAGAACATCCAGCAGAAGTAATCAATAGTGTCAAATGCTTCAAAGGTCAAGAAGTGTGAAGAAATGACGAAAAAAGTTTCAGTTGAATGATGAGGTTGGAAGTAAGACAGTAGACAGTTTAGGAGAGAGTAAGAGGAGAAGAAATAAGGCATCCAGTGTAGAAGACTTTTTCAAAGAGTTTAGCTGAGAAGGGGAGAAGAGATAAATGACCTAGTTAACAGAGATGGTACAATCAAATGAGGTCTTTTAAGAATTGTTGCAGACTTTTGGTATATTTATAGACCAGGAGATAGGCAGAGATTGAAGTTGAGGGTACAGGTGGAGGTGGCAGGATAAGATGATAGTGAAGGCAGTTAATAAGAGAAGATTGGAGGAGATGGGAACAAGGGGAATCTCTAAAAAACTATAACCAGTAATATGTTTTAGGTACTGCAGAAAGAAACTCTGCTTTGGAAATGTATACATAGGATTTGTTTGTTACGTCATCTAAACTAGCCACTCACTACTATAGCAAAACAATCTTTATGCTCTTCCGTGATTGTTCCTCTAGCAGCAGTTTCTCACACATCAGATATCCCCAACCTTTTTTCCCTCTTTTCAAGCTCCCACACCATTTCTCCCCTATCTGCTCAGTAGATTTGGTTTTGGGAGCCCTGCTCATAGTGTGGTGCCTTCATGAGATTGAGCCTCTGTTAGTGAGACATCACACTCAAGCTTCTTCTGACTTACTAGATGTGAAGTGACTTTATTGGAAATTGTCTTATCCTTTGTCAGATACTGTGGGAGAATGTGTTACAACAGATAATAACTCTTTTTTGTTACAACTGATCTACTAGTTGAATTAATGACCTAAATTTTTAAAAGGTTTTTCCAAATTCCAGTTTAAGTATGCCCATACCTTTTTTAAAGGCAATTTGAAATACTAATGCTGTTTTTGTTACCCGATCTGTTATTAGGCATAGTTTCTGGAATTTTCATTAAAAGTGAAGTGAAAATCGATTTCATGTTTTAATTTGTCTACTCTAGGGTTAGAAATGAGGTTGTTTTTTTGTGCACTGCTTGGCAGTACGTTATTGTATCACGTGGAGTTGAGCATACTGGTTAACAAAAAGCAATGTAAAGCCCTTCTTTATAACTGATAAAGTCAGTTTGAGTTTTATTGTGATACAGCACTGACACATAATGAAAGTATTGACCTCCTTGGTTCATTTAATGTACGTTTATGGTTTGCCCGTTTTGGTGGTCAGCACTATCTGCACCAAAACATTTCCAACATGTGGAATATTGATATTTCTGATTTATTCTGTTTTTTTTTCTCTTGGTACCATAACATGAAGGAACACTACTCACTACACTGTTATTTTTGGCAAACAGATAATCTCAATGATTTTGAGTAGGATCAGCCTGCATTCCTCTGCCACCCCATCCATTTCTTTGACTTTTAAAAATAGTTCAGTTGTACTGGCCCACAGTATTAGCCTACTCAGTGGTATTTCCTGAACCCAGTTTTCTAATGTTTCATAGTTCTTGCCAGGCCTTCACAGCTACTCTAACAGCCTCACGGCACATGAATTCCCTGTTTACGTTCCTCTATTTTTCTGTTACTGTCTCACTTCTTTCATGAGATGAATGATGTGTTGGACCTTGAGGAGTTGATGATCATGATGAGCCATCATAGATTCTCTCTGTCTTCTGAGAGTAGGTTCTCTCTGTCTTCTGCTGTAGAAACGGATAGATGTTATCTGTGAAAATAGAAAAGAAAGGACTTGTAACTAGTAGGATAGTCATACCAGTGACAGAAGTAAGAGTAGTATAGAGCACTCTACTTGTCCTTCATCCTTATAGCTCACGTATTTACTTGCCGATTTGGAAAGAGCACTTCATTTAGAGTCAGAAGATCTAGCCTTTTTTATTATTACCAATGGGCTCTTAGGCAAGTTGACCTCAATTTCCTCATCTGTAAAATGCGTGGATTAGACTACATGGCCTCTGATGGCCCTTCCAACTCTGGTTTATCCTCTGACCAAAGAAAGGCTCCCTCTTGACCCTTAAGGGGCAGAAACATTATATGGCAACAAATTGGTTTGAACCTGACCATTCCAGAAAAATTGAAAGGGGAAGAGAAGAGAACATTTTCTCTTTTTATCCAGAAGGATGTATGCCATATTGAGGAGTCAATAAGATTTGAAATGAATGTATCTTTCTTAATATAGCTTATAAATATAGTTTGATAGCACAGTTATTTGAATGCCATGTCATATAATTGCATAAAACTTTTCCAAATAAATAGCATCTGTAGAATGTTAATGCATGATTGCTGTGTTCGTAAGTGTTTGCTCTTAGAACTATTGGACATTTTTCTTAATAAGTCATCTTGGCATTATGTCAGCAACATAATTTGCTTTTCTAAGAAAGTAGATGAATACTTCCTGTATTTGAATTGTTCACAGATCAACAACACAGTGAGAAGGGGAGAAGAAACAGAAGGCACTCTTGGATCGTTTCTCTATTTCTTCAGGAAGGCTCTAGCCTTAGACACAATCCATGGACATATTAATATTGGCCCACGCTTGAAACAATGTGTTCGAGATACTTCATGTGAATACCGAGCCACTTTTCAAAGGACTTCAATTTCTCAGTACATCACTGGTTCTCTATTAGAGGCAACTACGTCTTTGGGTGCAAGAAGTGGCCTTTTAAATACTTTTGGAGGATCAGTAGGAAGAATAATGTTGAAAGGTAATGTCTGAAGTTTTGTTTTTAATTTAAACATTTTTAACATAAAAATGTTTATAAGTCTCCTATTGATTAATGCTAGATAGTGTTGTTGATGTTTAGAAGTTTGTCAAGGCAGTTAATTTTGGAGACTATAATAAAAAGAATTTAATTAATATTCTTTAAAGTATAATTTCCTAGGGAAGGAAGGTATTTTAAAATTGCAGTAAAAATGGAAGAAGCTATCCTCAGTAAACAAACAAACAAAAAACGATTACATGCAAGACATCAAGCTTTGAGGAAAGTTCCATGTAGAACGTTTCTTTATAAAGTATTACTGTAGTCATAATGAAATTAGACTGGTGACCACTTGCTGATTTCAGTACTGCGAACCTTCCCTTTATGAAGTAGAAATATTATGGAACCTGGGACATGGGTCCCGGGTTTGAACTCCCAACTCTGCGGCCCAGGGCAATGCACCTCTACTCCTTGAGCCTCAGTTTCCTCATCTACAAAATGAGGGCATTAAATTAGATGCCCTCAGATAATTTCTAGCTCTAGGTCTAAGTACGCTATGATTGTGATCCTATGTAAAATGTATTCCAGTAAGTTTTAATATAACGTTAACATTACATCTGTCAATCGATATTTGCCATTTTAAGATGCAGTTTTCTCACATAAAAATGAGAATCAGTGGAAAAACAAGGTTCCCTGCCTGCCTAATTCCCATGAATCAGACTAGATTAGATATGGGAGAACATCAAAGAATTAATTCCCAGTGTGTTGCAGCGCTGCTGTCACAATCCATTTGGTTGATTTCCATGGCAGGAAGTTTTGAAGTGGACTTCTGTAGCACCTAGACATTTCCCTTGGGAATATAACGGAAAAGCCTTTATTAAGTTTTTATAAGGTTCTGTGTTAGCACTGTTGATAGGAAAAGACAACCTTCAGTCCCTGATCTCAAGGAGCTCACGTTGTAATTAAGGGTGATAACACATATAGGAGGGAAAGACCAAGTAGTCCTTAGAGTACAATATCATATCAAATGGCATTCCTTAGGGGTCCAGAGGGCGAATGGTCAGCCAGATGGTAAGTGCAGAGGATCTTGGGGGGCAGATTGCCCCCAATCCATGACTGTTGAGAAGAGAGTAATATGCCCTCTGTGGATCTAAGCTCTGGATTATCTTAGGCATGGATTGGAGGGTGAGGGTGGTGTCTGGTGAGAACTAGGGATCTGGGAGGGAAAATAGAAGGTGCAAGAACTTTTCTGTCCTATTCTATTTCTGAAGCCCTGGATAGGTGGGCAGCAAGGCTAATGGAATTCTAACACAAGCAGAGCCTACTTATAATGTATTATATGCTTGTATGCTGGGAGTTCAAACTTGGGACCCATGTCCCAGGTTCCATAATATTTCTACTTCATAAAGGGAAGGTTCGCAGTACTGAAATCAGCAAGTGGTCACCAGTCTAATTTCATTATGACTACAGTAATACTTCATAAAGAAACGTTCTACATGGAACTTTCCTCAAAGCTTGATGTCTTGCATGTAATCATTTTTTGTTTGTTTGTTTACTGAGGATAGCTTCTTCAAATTTTACCACAATTTTAAAATACCTTCCTTCACTAGGAAATTATACTTTAAAGAATATTAATTAATTCTTTTTATCAGTGATTTTAAAAAAAAAGCATAGATGCCATGCTTATCAAATTTGCCCATGACACAAAGATGGGAGGAATACCTAACATCATCTAGCATAATAGCATTAAGATTCAAAAAGACCAGAACATTGGTCCGGTTTGATATAATGAATAAAGATAAATATAAAATCTTCGAATTATGTTCAAAAAATTAGCTTTGCAAGTACAAGAGAGTTATGATTAGACATTGATTTGTATAAAAAGAGCCGGAGGCTTTATAAACTAGAAGTTTAATATGAGTCAACACAGCAGCCAAGAAACCTAACTCACACTTGTGTTGTTTTGAGAGAGGTATAGCATCCTCTATGGGAGTTGGGATTTGACAGTCTTGGTATGTTCTGCCATGGTGAGACCATATCTGGTGTATATTTTTTGGAAGGACCTTAATAGCTAAAGACCATTCAGAGGAGAACAACAACTAAGATGGTAAAGAGACTCAAGTTCATGCCCCATGAAAATCAGTTGAAGGAATGGGAACATTTAGCCAAGAGGCTAAAAGACTTAGCAGGGACACTGTGGTTGTCTTACAGTATGTGAAGCAATCTTACTTAGAGAGAGAATAAACTTGTGTGTTGTTCTTGAAATATTACAGCAACACCTCCTACCCCAGACCCCTCTTGTCTTTGATGATAACATTAGACATAATCATAGGTAAAAACTAGTAGCCTCTCATGAGGTTGTTCTTGGCATGCTGTTGCCTAACCCTGTTATACAGCTATACCACTTTTCAGCCCCTCATCATTAACATCTGCTAACTTCTAAAGTACCTCAGGTAGAAAATTGTAGCTGAAAAGACAACAAAAGTTAAATGTTTGGCTTTTTGGGTCTAGGTTCCCTTTCCCTCAGCTGTGTGGTTCAGCACTCCTAACAAAGAGCCAGAAGTCAGTGTTCAATTGGCTGAACAGTTAGAGTGAACCCAGCTCCAGGGAATTCTACCCCTGCTAATCTTTTATATATAAAATTTTAGACTTATAAATTGATAAAGTAGGGAACCTTAGACTTCTTCAATAATAAAGACGCAGACTACATATAATGAAATAATATTCCCTTTACTATTAGTTTAGTAAATTTTAATTATTAAGTTGCTCTGTGTGTAGATGAACCTTTCTCCCCACCTTAACTTCCAGTCCTTTCACCTCTGAATACTCTTTCATGGCATAACCCCTCCTTTGGCTTACTTTTTTTTCCTTCCCAGTCTTGGTCATATAGATAACCAGTTCAGTGTTACGTTTTCCTCTTCTTTCAGATACCTTATCCTATTTCTGCTTATGGCTTGCCAAACCCTAGCCCTATATTACTCCCACTCTCTGGCTCCTTTGTTCCTACTCATATGCTATTGAATTGTGCTAGTGAAAATAATACACAATAATACTAACTGGGTCTACTGAAATTTTTATTATCTGATCTCAAATGGACCATCACTTCAATGAAGCAGTCCTAATTTTTTCTCTCCCCTAGTGGTCTTCAATTTTTTTTTAGATTACACATCCAAATAGTAAAAAATGTGCCTCTTCAATATATTTCATACATTATATTTGCATATATAATCATATTTGTATTTATTTATAAATCATATGCATATGCTACTATACTATTATGTATGTTACAAAGGATATACAACAAATGGAAATTTTCAAAGGACAACATAAAGATGAAATAAATAATATTTTAAAATTCTCATTAATGTATTAAAAATGATGAGCAAAAGTGAATTTTCTTTTATTTCAACTCAGCAGAAAGATGCCAATATAAATTCATTCATCTTTCTGTGATTCTGCTTACTAGATGGCATCATACCTAAATTTCCTACTAACGTTTAGATAGTTGTGTTGACTAGATCACAGAGTGAAGGAAGGGGATTATATATAATAAATTCAGAAAGGTAGGTCAGAACCAGGTTGTAAAGAGTTTTAAATGCCATTCTGGAAAGTAATATGGAACTATTTGCCCCAAAGATTATAAAACTGTGCATACCCTCTGACCCAGCTATACCACTACTAGAGCTTTACCTCAAGGAGATCAAAGAAGAAGGAAGAAGACCCATATATACAAAAATATTTACTGCAATGCTTTTTGTATTGATGAGGAAATGGAAACTGAGGGGATGCCAGTCAGTTGAGGAATGGATGTCCACGTTGTATATGAATGTAAAGGAATACTGTTATGTTATAAGAAATGATAAAGGGGATGGTTTCATAAAAACCTGGGAAAACTTATAAGAACTGATGCAAAGTGATGTGTGCAGAACCAGGAGAATAATCTATACAGTGACAACAATATTGTAAAGACAGCAATTTTAAAAGACATAGTAACTGTTAAATTCAGTGAACCACCACAGTTCTAAGGAACTCGTGATGAAACATGCTGTCCATCTCCAGATAGAGAGCTAAGCAACTCTGAGTGAAGATTGAAGCATTTTTTCCTTTTTCTTGTTTATTTTTCTTTTCTTTTTTTGTAGTGGAGGGAGGGGGATGTGGCTAATGCAGAAATTTGTTTTACACGACTTTACATATTTGTAATAGGTTTTGTTTTTCTTGCCTTCTCCTTAGAAAGGGGAGCGAATAGGAGAAGAGAGAGAATTTGGAACTAAAAAGAAAAAGAATAAAAAAAGTCTCCGTGCTTTAATTTTTTTAAATTAAAAAAGAGGTTTAAATGCTGAACCAGAGGAGTTTTTATACTTGCTCCTAGAATCAGTAGAAAACTGTGTGAATAGAGAGAATGGGGGATATAGCTAATGGATGTTGTGGAAAAAGAAATGACAAGGTTGGGCAATTGGTTGGATATGTGGAGTGAGTGAAAATGAGCTGAGAATGATAATGCCCTGACAGTAACATGAAAGTTCAGAAAAGGGGTAGGTTTGAGGGGAAAATATGATATGAGAGCTGTAAACCTGGACTGCCTGGCCAATCTGCTAACCGTCCTCAAATGACCTGGATAGTTTGCTGACCTCAAATGACCTAGACTCAATCATCTTTTCAAATAGGCATGGAATAGACATTGCATTTGTCTCAGTTTCTTGGAAAGAAAAGACAAAATCTTCCTCCTTATGTGGTAGAGGACATTGGAATGCCTCTTACAGTCCTTACTTCAGTCAGATGTCACCAAAGGACTGAACTAGATGAATGTCATGTCAGGTCATGCCCCTGTTTATATCCCCCAAACCTAGCACTGTGCCAGACATGTAACAGGCACTTAATATTTCTTGATTGATGATGTGGGAAGAAGTTTAGCAGGACAAGAATGGAGACTGATGTATAACAGAAAATAATTCCCTGCTCAGCAGCTTTGAAATTTTATCTTTACAGTTGCAGATATATTTCTCGAA